CGGGATGGGGGGTTCATAGCTCCCACGGGGGTCAGGCCCCTCGGGGGGGGGGGTCAGGTCCCAGGGGGGCTCACGGCCCCTCGGGGGGGGTCAGGCCCCTCGGGGGGGGGGGTTCATAGCTGCCGGGGGTGGTTCAGCCCCGGGGGGGTCAGGGCCCCTCGGGGGGGGGCGCCGAGTCCATGCGCTGGTCCCAGGAGCGCAGGGCGCCCAGCAGCCCCCCCTGGCCCAGCGAGGCCGAGAGCTGCAGCGCGGAGCTGCGCAGGGACGAGGCGCCCTGCGCGCGGCCCAGCTCCAGCAGCAGCCGCAGCGCCACCGGCACCACCTGGGGGGGCAAAGAAGGGGGGCTCACCCCAATAACCACCCTAGAGACACCCCCCAGTAACCACCCCGGAGACACCCCAATAACCACTCCAGGGACCCCCCAATAACCACTCCAGGGACCCCCGCAGCGCCACCGGCACCACCTGGGAGGCACAAAGGGGGGGCTTACCCCAAACAGCACAGGGACACCCCAATAACCACCCAGACACCCCAGTAACCACCTGAAGAGACCTCCCCACTAACCACCCCAAGGGACCTCCAGTAACACCCCAGTAGCCCCCCAATAACCCCCCGGGAGCCCCATTGACAGCCCAGTAACCCCCCCCAACAACCCCTGCAATAGCCACCCCAATAACCACCCCGGGACCCCCCAAGAACCCCCCGAGAGCCCCCCAGGGCTCCTGCTCCCCAAGGGGTCCCTGTTCCCCAGGGGTCTCCCCACTCCCCAGCGGGGTGTCCCTGCTCTGGGGGGGTCCCCCCGCTCTGGGGCCCCCCCGCCCACCTGCACCATGATGAGGCGCCGGGTCCAGCCGGGCCCCGGTTCCGGCCAGGGCTCCCCCAGGCAGAGCCAGAGCTCGCACAGGGGCGCCCCCCCCCGGCCCTCCAGGAAGGCCAGCAGCTCTGCAGGACATTGGGGATACTGGGGACACTGGGGACACTGGGGACACCGAGCTGCCCCCCCCCTGGCCCTCCAGGAAGGCCAGCAGCTCTGCGGGGACATTGGGGATACTGGGGATACTGGGGACACTGGGGACACTGAGCTGCCCCCCCCCCGGCCCTCCAGGAAGGCCAGCAGCTCTAGAAGGGACATTGGGGATACTGGGGATACTGGGGATACTGGGGACACCGAGCTGCCCCCCCAGGCACCCCCATGTCCTGGGGGGACCCCCCACGGCACCCCCTGTCCC